TGTTCTGACAAAATCCATCATCTTTTCCCCTTCTTTTGCTATTTTTGTTACAGGACATTGCATGTATCTTTCTGTGTTTAACAGTATGTGAAAAGAAAAGATTAATTTTGTAAATGGGACATTTTTCACAAATAATTATTTTTAATTAATAATATTGGTTCAACTAATACCAATTGATTCTTTTTTCTTGGTCCTGCTGTTTCTTGGCAACTATATGCACAGCTACACAGTATAAAAATGTGCGTCCTGATTCGGGGGTGGGTTGGAATTCAGGGTCATGTTCCTTTCTGATAAATACAGTAGTTCATTGTAATGGTTGCTAATTTGGGAGAGTGAAGATGGGTTGGGCTTTTTACCTCTAAACATCTTCTGTGTTGATCTCTGCTCATTTCTAGCTTCGTTCCCATATTATGCTGTGTCATGTTAGAAAAAGCGTTTTTGAGAGCAGAAGTTACCGTAACTTAGCAAAGAATGGGAAACAGAACCTACGTGATGTTTCTCTCTGAGTTCCTTCAGTCGAGTTTCTATAGATAATTTTTTGTTCAGTTTTAATCTTCACTTTCTCTATTTGCTACTTACAGCTTGGCTTTACATCCAAGGAAAGATATTGTTGTCACTGGAAGCGATGATCGCTTGTGGAAAATGTGGGCCTTTCCTAATGGGAACATTATTGTGAAGGGTGAAGGTCACACAGATTGGCTTTCTGGATGCTGCTTCCATCCAGGGTAAGTAAAAATAGTGCTGGAAATCAGCATTGATTCATTTGGGCCTTAACCTGTTAAAAGTGATTACTTTCAATACATTGTAAATTTTAGTCCACATGCTTCTGTATCAGATTTCCAGGTCTCATCTAATTTAATCTTTTAGGTTTATAATACTGTACAGACAAACTAGATACATGTGAGTGTCAATTTTATTTTAATGTGAATTTTATTTTTCTCATTGGTGTTTTCTCCAGTCTACGTAGAGAAAATTGTCTGATTTCTCTCTCAATGGTACATCAACAATCATTAGATATCAATAATTAGAATATAATGGTTTCACTATCATAAATCAAATAATTATATTACTTTAAAGAAGCAGGCATTTCTTCAGTTCAGAAGGTAACATAGTGTGTTATATGATTTGAGGAAAAGCTCCCATTTATACTATTTTATATTGGGGTATATATATATGCACGGACAACCTATGGTGGCAGAAATCTCCCCTGATTCACAAAAGCCATCTCCAAACCTGGGCAGACCTGAATTTGCTGCACTTGCTGGAAATCATCTCTGCTTCTTATTTATCTATGAGGATGTAAGTGGAAATCCCCTTTTTTCCATCGCTTAACTAGGTGGGAGGTGTTTTCTTGGAGTAAATACTAAGAATTTACTAAGGTTTATTAAAATATTGAATATTTTTACTAAACCAAGGTTAGAAAAGAAAATTGAAAAGAAAAAAGGGAAAAGAAGAATGAATGATCAAATGTTGCATGAAAAGGCTGATAACCTGCTCCTTCTAGATTCTTAAATAAGCACAGATACTTGCGAACAAATTTACACAATTTAGATTTCAGTCCATAAATAAAATATTCTCTCTCTGATTCTAGCTTGCTGTCCAAATTCACTAAATGCCTGTTTGGTTGCTATC